GGCCGTTCTTAAGTATGTCGCCCAAAAAAGCCCGGATTTCCTCTCGTGTTATAAAACTACAGGAGGGCTTTCCATAAGCTTAACCGATATCTGTGGAACCATGGATACGGTTTGAACGGGCTAAAATTGAAAACGAGCACGATCCAATACCTAGCTCTCATGTTTGTTTATATGGTCAGCTAGCACCAGGGCGGTACCCCTTCGGTTTCCCGTTTTGTTGACTTATAAATCTATCCTACTCGCTTCTTCAAACAAAATGAAGGCTATCCCGACAACATTCGGTCGTCTACCATACGCCATTTGCTTCGTAGAATTAATGGAACTCAACATCAAAGCCACCTACCTGTGTTGAGCCTCCTTGGTCTCACATTCATCGGCTCCCTCTTCTTCCTGTCTTTATTTATCTTCATTACGAGCGCGCACAGTGAATTAGCTTTCTACGTCTTATGATACCCATTTTTTAAGTTCACTTTCATTTTTGGAAGTCCATGGACGAAAGCCTAGCACGTTTTCACCGGGATGGGCTCAACCTTCAAGTCTCTTCGCCAAATACTTTCACTCGAATTGGAAGTAAGCTCAACAATTATGAATTGCTCGAACTCCAACTTTTCTTCGCATTTATTATGATGCCACTGCGACCTTAATATCACATGCTTTCGATTACTTTTTTATGTATAAGGCCAGATTCTGATGTATAACGTTAAATAGAAGTCCAATCACTCGGGGCTAATGCTGCAAGTGCATTTGCTGAAATTGGGCTTCCCTAAATACTACATTTTTGCTGCTGTCAACTGTTTTGGGTTAAGTAGCTTACGTTTACATTTCATGCCTTTTTGGCGTGCTTCTGTCAAAACGTAATTTTTTCTTTAGTACTCACGATTTGTATTCCAATACTCGGCTTCGCTTTCTCAAAAGTAACTTGCGTAAATAGACCAAACTTTCATATCGAAACCAACTAGCTGTTAAGAAATTTACTATTGTGTGCAACTACCAGTTGGTCTATATGGTTATGATGGCACAACAGGGCACTGATGAGGCAAAGGCTGGTTAATTATACGTTAATATTTTGCATTTTTCATCATACCCTTAGGTCTCGCTTAGCCTGGCCCCCCAAAAAACTTACTCAAGACGAATTGCAATCTTGTTCTCACCTGGAATGACTGATTGGTAAGATATAAAGGTTTGGTTCCGAGGCCCCTCTTGATACAATGATGTTTATATAACTTTCATTTTGTTTGGGAAGGTGAGTGGGAGTTGTACATCGTCCTCACCGTGAGCCTAAGTGTGAATGAATTTAGTCAGTTTCTCACTCAGATGGACTTCCTGAAACTGCAGAAGATGATAGACAAAATGTCATTGAACTTAATCACCAAAAGGCACAATAAGAAGCTGAAAAAATATGGGATCTATAGGCAGCCCATTGTCCAACTACCCGGTAAAAACGAAGGCGACTCTAGGATAACGAATCTCATAGTCCAGACAAAAGATAAAGTATTGTATCTGCCTTCCGTCTCTCTTGACCTCGAACCACTTCGGAATGAAAAGAGGGCAGTCAGAGACACTTTAGTGGAGATGATAAATGCCTCTGAATAGATAACTGGAAATGGAAGTCATCCCAACCCTCTTAGTACATCAGGAATCCCAAAATAAGAATAATATAACAAAGATATGTAGAGAATTGAGAATAAATGATTAAATAGTTCTACAAGTTAACATAGGAATTGCCACAGTGGTGATCAACAAAAAGTAATACATAGAGAGAATAGAAAATATTCTCAGGGAAGCTACAACTTATCTACTATTAACATTTATTATCAAATGATGAAGGGCATGAATATGAATGTGTAAATCGACTAACAGACAATAAATTCACTCCAACTAATGGATGCATGAGCCCTAGTAGCCTACAATTTGCCTAAGGTATATAAGGAAGGAGAATTATTAAGACTGACAGTCAACAGCATACACGGAAATTTATCTCCATCAAATTATAGTGAATGACAGATTATCGAATAGGATGAAGGGCTTATGTGAATTTTGCCAAAAGGATAAAGGGCAACAGTTTGGAGGAAAACGGATTTGTGGTGGGCGTTGATGTAATGTCCATGTACAACATCTCAGGTGAAAAAGCACTCACGAAACTACTGGAGATCTTGGAAAATAAAGATGACATTTTAGAGACGGAACGAATCCGAAAAGGGTTTCTAACTTGACTACTAAATATCTAACAATAAGAATTATCTATCTTACATTCAACGGCCGCATCTACGAGCAAATGTTTGGCCTGCCTATGGCCCATCACTTTCACCACTATTGGCTTATGTCTATATGGGCAAATCGGAGAAGAATTTAAAAACGCCACCTCAGCTAATCGTAATTATGTGCTATTTTGATTACTACTTCGCACTTGGGTCGCGTGGAAAAAAAAGACGATTTCATGATCTTTTTAAACGACATGAAAAATTGAAAGAACGGACATTTACCGTTCTTGGACGTGAAGGTCATTCGCTTCAAGGAAACTCATAAGATGACAGAGAAATAATCCTTGACTTCTGGAATTAAGATTGAGGAACTACGGAGTATGCTCATTGCCTATGATTTACTGATTCTGAGAAGCGGAAGTGGAAAAACTAACTCGGATACTTCTTGGAAAAGGTTGTCGAGAAGAAGCAATACACCACAGCGTATGGATGGTATTGAAAAGATGGAAGGATGTAAAATATGAAAGGAAGCAAGAGAGGCAGAGGAAAAACGATGAATATGTCTACCTTTCTGCGAATTAGCTCAGAAGCCACTGCCAATACTATTGAAATGGAATATTCGTACAATCCTGAAGAAAAGGACAAGGCTCTTCATGAAGAAATCAACAAAATAGAGTACTCCGGAGATTAGAACATAAACCACAAGGACTGTGGACAAAAATACATCGGAGATAGAGGAAGGACAATCAGCATACGGACCAAGGAA